ACCTGCCAGCCCCCTGTTTTTTTTTTTTTTTTTTTAATTATTGGGAACCAGCAGTTGGCATAATGGCTATGTCACTGGACTCCCATGTAGTCGACCGTGGGTCGCGTCCCAGACCCGGTGGCTTAAAACTCACGCTGGGCGCGTGTGCGTGCGTGCCCAAGATCCTGAGAGGAGAATGGAGGAGAAGGGATTGCGGCGTGACCACCCCCCCAGGGGGTGATCTCTCGCTTTCTTCTCGCTGTCTTTCTCTGTCTGTCTGGCGAGTGCACGCGCCCTATAGCGAAAAACCTCTCCAAAAAAAAATTTTTATTTTATTTAACTTTTTTTTTTATTATTGTTTTTTAATTTGACCAGAGACAGATGAGTAGCAGGGGGATGGGGGGGATCAGTGAGAAGGCAAGCCACCAGGTCCAGGACTGGAATTGCGACCATGTGGGAGTCCAGAACCCTCAACCACCAGACCATCTGCTGACCCCCTTTTTTTTTTTTTTTTAAGTTTATTTTTTCTATGAGCAAGAGAGAGAGACCTCAGGGTACTAGACAGGCAATTCCAACAGGATTCTGGTGCCATGATCCTCCTCTCTACTAGATCCAAGTCATTGGCACATGTGTGCTTCAGGTACTTGGTGAGGTCTCCAACATGAAACTGGAAGTTTTCCATGTGGGTCAGCCTTGCAGAGCTTCATATTTTACTGTGCACTACCATCTTGTCGAAGTTCAATTTTTTTTTTTGGAGAGGTCTTTGTTTTTTTTTTTTTTTTCGCTATAGGGCGCGTGCGCTCACCAGACAGAGAGAGAGAGAGACAGAAAGTGAGAAATCACCCCCCCAGGGGGGATGGTCACGCCGCAGTCCCTTCTCCTCCATTCTCCTCTCGGGATCTTGGGCATACACACACGTGCGCCCGGCGTGCGTTTTAAGCCACTGGGTTCGGGACGAGAACCGCGGTCGACTACGTGGGAGTCCAGCGACATAGGCATTACGCTAACTGCTGGTTCCCTCCAAGTTCAATATTTTTAATTCATTTTTTAGTTATAATATTTATAACGTAGAATGGGTTTATCAGGATATAACCCAAACGTAAATCGAGGGGCGTATCCATATGTGTGATGGTATTTAATTTCTACTGTATGTATGCATATTCATGAACATAACAACTCACAGAGCTCGGCCAGTGTTCATATATATTTTTTTCTTTTCTTTTTTGCTGGAGGGCACATGTGTTCCCCAGGAAAAGTGAGAGAAAGACTTAAGAGGGAGTGTCCTGGCTATACTGCAGTCCATTCTCTGTCTCTCTTTCCTCTGGATTTTGGGTACCAATGCACATGCACTATTTGTTTCTCAAGCTACCACACAGTTGACTGCCTTTACCACCAGGCCATGTAGTTGGTCCCCATGTATGTTCTTAACCAATTTATTAATCCTTTTAAATGCTTTATAGGGGACCAGCAGGTGGAGTGGAGGTTAAGACAACTGGATTCCACATGGCCAACTGTGTTGAGTCCTAGTTCTGGATTTGGTGGCTTGAAAATCATGTGGGGTACATACACATGCATGACCAAAATCCCAAGAAGAGAATGAAGAAGAGATTGTGGTGTGCAAAAATTACAAAAAAGCTCTACATATGGTTAATGTTTTTAAAGAATTATTTTACTTATGTAATTATTTAAGCATGTTTATTTAGAGGGACAGAGTGAGAGAGAAGGAGAGAGAAAGCAAGCAAGCTGCCAGGTCCAGGACTTGAATCACGGTCGGCCACGTGGGAGTCCAGCACCCGTCCAGGACTCAAGCCATGGTTGGCCATGTGTGAGTCCAGCACCCTTAACCACCACTCTACCCGCCGGCCCCAAAATTATTTTATTTTATTTATTATCATTAAATTTGACCAGAGAGAAGCAGGAAAGTGAGAAATTAAGCTACCAGGTCCGGGACTTGAATTGTTCAGCCTTGTGTAAGTTCAGTGCCATAACCACCTCAGTACCTGCCAGCCCCTCCCTACATATGGTTCTTTTTAAAAAAGAAGTTAAAAGATCACGTAGGTCCTATGACCAACCAGCAAGTGACATAGCGGTTACATCGCTGGTCTCCCACATGGCTGACTGGGTTCAAGTCCCAGACCTGGTGGCTTGAAAATCACATCAGGCAGATGTGCATGCCTGCCTAAGAAAAATCACTAGGTCTGCTTATTGCTGCTGCTTGAGAACTTATTAAAGAAATCTTTCTGAGTTCTTATGACCCTTTAAAAGATATAGATGGTAACATAATCCAAGGAGTTCCTTTTTTTTTTTTTTATGTATCAAGATAAATTGTCACTCACATATCAAGTGAGTTTGTATTAATACATCACTAGTAGAGGTCAGCAAGTGTGTGGTGGTTAAGGGCACTGGACCTCCCACATGGCCGACTGTGGTTCGAGTTCCAGACCTGGCGGCTTGCTTTCTCACTTATCTTTTCTCTCTCTCTCTCTCTCTCACTCTCACTCTCATTCTCATTCTCACTCTGTCCTTCTCTGGTCAAAAAATTAAATAGCAAATGAATAAAGTTAAATAAAATCTTAAAACAAAAAACTTAAATACATCACTAGTATCTTATTTATGTCACACTTCACTTGTTATTATTGGTTTCTGTTTCCTATTGTTCTTTCTTTTACCAAAGTTAAATTTATTCTGATCAGGGCTTGATTTATCATCATTCCTAGTAGCATATCATGTAATATTCAGCATAAGGTTAAAAAGCTTTTTGAACAGGATCCACTCATGGCCTAGTAGTTAAGGGACCTAGATTCTATATAGCTGACTTCACAGTTTGAATCCTAGACCCAGTAATTAAAAAAAAAAAAGGCCTATGTGCATGTTTCCCCCAGATCCTGAAAGGATAGAGAAATGAAGGGAGTGCAATGTAACCATACCCAATCAGATGGTACTTTCTCTGTGTCTCTGGCTAGATCCTGTGCCCTCTGGCAAATTAAGTTTTTTTTTTTCTCTCTAGTTTTGCCATAGGGCATGTATGTTGGTTGGAGATTGACAGAGAGAAGGAAGATTAGAAATCACCCCCAAAGGGGATGGCCACACCCAAATCCCTTCTTTTCCACTCTTCTCTTGGGATTTTGGGTACACCTGCACGCGCACCCAGAGTGTTTTCCAAGCTGCCGAGTTTGGGACAGTCAGCCATGTGAGATTCAGTCACTTTAACGACCATTCCACCAGCTTTACCTTCACCCCCAAAAAAGCTCTTTAAACACCCCCCCAAGCCACCGCACTTTACAGGTAGGCGGGATATTCAGAAAGTGCATAGAATGTGTGTTAAATAAAAATTAAGCATAGATTCCAAATTTTTTATTCCTTTTTTCCACAAATTTTTTGAAGTCTTCTTGTTCTCTGTGTGTGTGTGTTTTCTTTTTTTAAAGAGCTTTTGCCTTATGACATGTGCCCTCACTGAGGGGAGAGACAGACAGACACAGTGAGAGGGAGAGTAAGAAATCACCCCCTGGGGGGATGGCATCACTGCGTTCTCTTCTCTATTCTCCTCCCGGCATCTTGGGCACACAGGCATGGCATGATTTTCAAGCCTCTGGGTCTAAAACTTCAACCATGGTCATGTGGAAGCCTAGTGATATAACCACTATGTCATCTTCTGGTCCCTGGGACATCCTCTATTTTCCTAAGTGTATTATTCCACAATAGAGGAAGAAGTACTGCCAACAGGATGTTCGTACTGTAATCCACTACCAGTGTTAGCCAGCCAGGATCACAGGCAAGCACACATATGAGAAATAGCTATACTCTTATTTATTTTTCACTGTTGACATTTTTCCAACCTATGTTCTTGAAGTATGTGGTTTTTCCCATGAAAAAGGAGTATCACTGGGTGGTTTGATTTTGCCATTTTGGTTTCCTTCTCTGAAATACAGTCTTCTTTATTGATGTGATTGAAATATCTTTAGATATCAGGGTCCTATGAATAGGATAATGTAGAAACTATTTAGCTCATGTATAACAACAAAACAAAGTAGGTGTTTATATGTTTTTCTTGCTGGTATCCCTATCTCCATGACTTCATATCAAAAGGGTTACTTGGAGGAGCCAGCAGGTGGCATGGTGGTTAAAGCACTAAGACTCCATGTACCATTCAAGTCCTGGACCTGATGACTTGAAAATCACCCTGGGTGTGCCCAAAATCCCAAGAAGAGAATGGTGGAGATAGGATTGTGACATGGCCATTCCTCCTGGGGGGATGATTTTTCATTTTTACTCTTTTTCTCTCTCCAGTGGGTACATGTACCCTATGTCATAAACTAAAAAACAAACAAAAAAACCCACAACTTGGAAAACTTTTTGTGGAGCCTGGGAGTGGTACTCTGGTCTTATCTGGGAGTAAAAACAAAAAGATGGAGAATATTAAGTGTTATAACAGAGAGCTGATATCTAACACAAAGAGGGGTAACCTGGCTGAGAGTCAAGAAGCTGAGACCTAATCAGAGGCTCGTATCTTGCTTTTTTGTCACTTAACTTATATCTTTATAAAGCTGGCTTTAAAAGGCTTTCTGTAGAGTCATTTGCTCAGGTTAGGAGCATATTTCCTCCTCATCTCTTTCTCTCTCTCTTTTTAAGGTTTTTGCCATAGGGTACATGCACTACAAGAGAGAGAGAGAAAGTGAGAAACCAGCCCTCTTCCAAGGTGGGTTGGCTATGTTCCAATCCCTTCTCTCTTCTCTCTGGATTATGGGCACACATACACATAGGTCCAGCGTGATTTTCAAGCCACCAGAGCTTGAACTGTGGTCGACCATGTGGGAGTCCAGTCAGTGCCATAACCACCATACCACCTGCTGGCCTCTCCTTTTCCTTATCTATTTTCTGAACCTCCACCTTCTCTTGGGTAGTACTTAGATAGGAGAAGGGTAAGTAGATGAAGGGGAGGGGGCATTCCCCCTAGACGATTCCAGTAACATAACCGTGTTTAACCGCCAGTATTTTTCCCCCCTCTCTCTTCCCTCCTACAGAAATGGAGGCAAACGACCATTTTAACTTTACTGGCCTTCCCCCTGCACCTGCTGCCTCAGGACTGAAACCCTCTCCTTCCTCAGGGGAGGGCCTCTACACTAACGGGTCTCCCATGAACTTCCCCCAGCAAGGGAAAAGTGAGTGTGAGGGCCACATGGCCTGGGGAGGGACTGGGCTTCATTTCTTTAGAGCAGGTTGATGGGAGGAGATTTGGCTCCATTTGGGGCTAGCTACTCCACAGCAGCTCTTTTCTGCCAAGTGGGGGGTTAGGGAGTGATTTCACAGAACTCCAGCTGCTGGGGAGAAACCAAGCTACTAAGAATGAGTTCTAAGAGTTTATGGAAGCAACTCTTTTAGTCTTAAGATTGGGAAGGGATTAGGAAAAAACACTGACCTTTTCATCTTAATCCTGCTTGTCTATCAGCCCTGTTCCTGGCTACTGCCAGAGTGGTGGGGTGGCTACTGCTGCTGCTAACCAGATTGGACCCATGAGAGAAACTAAGGACCAGCCCTCTGAGAAGCTATTATTAGTTGTTGTAGAAGCTGTATTGGGCCACGATGGGGTGGGGAAATTGAGTAAAGGTTGGGGTGTGTTTGCTTTTGATTTTGTGCAGCAGAGAAGGCAGATGAGAGAAGTTCCTATGTCATCTCCTTGAATAAAGGGACAAGGAAGGATTTAGTGTTTACTTAGTTCCCCAGAAAGATATTCATAATTCCAGTTAGAAATGTTGCTGCCAGAATTGGGTCTTTTCTTGGATTTGGCTTAGCAGTTGCTCTGTACCATGACTCTGCCAAGTACCTCTCTAATCTTGCTTGGGTTTTAGGTCCTTTATGCTTGGAAGCAGAGAAATCCCGTGCATCCCTCCTTCCTGGCAGTAGAGAAATGGTGCTATAGGCTTATACTTAGTATTTCTCCCTCTTGTCCTCTACAAGGGGGTTGCAGACAGGAGTTCCTTTATTTCATTAGAGTTTTTTCATCCCCTAGCTTCTTTAGTATCTTGGTTCCTTTATTTGATTGTTTTCTATCCCAGAGGTTGGCATTGGTGTTGAGGGCTGAATTCTGCAGCACTGGTCATGCAAAGACTTTTTCCCCCTGCATATTACCCTTCAGTGTTTATGGGGAGGGGCCAGCCCAGCCTTCTGAGCTGGGATCTTGTCGCTGTGGTGACTGCAAAATCTATTCTTAGCCCAGTACAAAGTGCTGGATCTGCATGTGCCAGTGAGGTGGAGGCCGTCCCTTCTGGTGCCACTGTGGGGCCAAATAGGCACTGGAGAAAGGGCGGGCCTTCAGAATACAGTCATGCCCTTCCAAGGAAAGAATTTCCTTAGGGAATGAGAGTTGGCAAGAATGCAGGTTACTGGAGGGAGTCTACAAACAGCTTCATACAATTAAAGAAAAAGAAAAAACCTAGCAGCACTCAGTTCTCCACTGGTAACTTTTGGTAGGCTTGAGAACTCCCTAGCCCACTGTTCAGCCTCAGCAGCAGTTGCTAAGCTTAGGTCCAGGAACATCTGGGTTTAGCGTTCTCGAAGACCCAAAGCTTACAATAGCAGATGGGGAAGCCCTCTCTCCTTCACCTGTTTTTCTAGTCAGTGCTGTTTCTTTAGGATTCTTTTGGTAGAGTTATTTGCATACATACCTATAACTGACCATTTTCTCTCCTTCTCTGCCAGGTTTGAATGGGGATGTGAATGTTAATGGCTTATCTACTGTATCTCACACTACTACTTCAGGGATTTTAAACTCTGCTCCCCACTCCTCCAGCACCTCACACCTCCATCACCCCAACGTGGCCTACGACTGTCTCTGGAACTACTCACAGTACCCATCTGCCAATCCTGGCAGCAACCTCAAGGACCCACCCCTTCTCTCCCAGTTCTCTGGGGGACAGTACCCACTCAACGGCATTCTCGTGGGTAGCCGGCAGCCCTCATCCCCAAGTCACAACACTAACCTTCGGGCTGGGAGCCAAGAGTTCTGGGCCAACGGTACCCAGAGTCCCATGGGTCTTAACTTCGACTCACAGGAACTGTATGATTCTTTTCCTGATCAGAATTTTGAGGTGATGCCCAATGGACCCCCTAGTTTTTTTACCTCCCCACAGACTTCTCCTATGTTGGGATCTAGCATCCAGACCTTTGCACCCTCCCAGGAGGTAGGCAGTGGTATCCATCCTGATGATGCAACAGAAAAGGAGCTGACTTCAGTTGTGGCAGAGAATGGCGCTGGCTTGGTAGGCAGCCTGGAGCTGGAAGAAGAGCAGCCAGGTATAACTGGGTTGAGAGCTGGGTGGGGAAAGGAAAAATGAGGATGTGGGGGACAGTGGCTTTTTGAAGTGAGGAGAACTTGTCTTTCCAGCTCTCTGCAGTGGAGGCTGATTTGCATGTTGGTGATTAGCAGAGCCAAGTGGCTGGTGTTTTTGTGGCAGCAGCACCAGCTCTCACAAGTGGGAGTGTAAATTATTTCAAACTTATACAGAGCTGCTGGCTTGGAGAGGGCAAGTGGGCGAGCCTGAAACAGCCCCAACAAACACCCTGCAACAAGAAGGACTTTATCCACAACATATGAAGGTGTTAAGATCTTAGTTGGTATTGAGGCCATTTTTGACTGACTATGGGAGAGTCAGACTGGCTGTTAAAGTGGACTGACCCTTAGTAGCAATTGGCATGTGAAAGATGGAGGAAGCAGGCAGACCAAACTGTTGGCTTGTCTACTAAGTTTACTTATGTTTTTGTTATTCTCAACATTGCTACATGTGACAGGCCCTTTCATCTTTTCCCTCAAAATAAGTATAAAAGTTTAGTTTGCCATTGATTCCCAGTGCGAGGGTGGCTACCCGGTAAAATCACAGAATGTTTTCTTTGTTTCCCTTGGAAACATTCCCTTTCTCTTCTTTGCTTAGTAGGATTGATTTTTACCAACATGTTCCTGCTCACTTAGTGTCTTGACAGGATCGGTTCTCAGCATTAAACTGGCATCCTGGCAACAATAAATGTTGAGTGAATGAATATCCTCCAGCACAGATTGACTGCCTACTGTAGCTAAGTGATCCAATTGAGGGTACTGATTTTGACTTTTGCTGTCTCCTGGAATTTCATAGAATTGAAGATGTGTGGATATAATGGCTCTGTTCCTTCTGTGGAATCATTACACCAGGAAGTCTCAGTCTTAGTTCCTGATCCTACAGTGAGCTGTTTAGATGATCCTTCCCATCTTCCTGATCAACTGGAAGACACTCCAATCCTCAGTGAAGACTCTCTGGAACCGTTCAATTCTCTGGCACCAGGTGGGCTTGGAGACTGGCTTCCTTCAGCTTATCCTTGCAGAATATAGCCAGTTTCTCCTGCATGGTAGAGATAGTAAACCAGAGAAAATATTAGGGAATCTGGGGCATGGAGGCCCCAGATAATCCTTTTGCTGACCACAGTTACATGCCACTGGCCTGGCTGCGCCAGTTGTACTCTGAGCTGAATTGGTTCATTTCCCAGGTTCTTACCCAGCGTACCTTTTGGCTAAGAGTCATGGACTGTAAAGGCACTGGATAGGCATTTATTACCACACAATTGGACTATTTGGGTTCTAACTTAACTAGAAAGGAAACATTCACCAATGAACAATTACCTCTCATTCCACTGAAGTATAGTAAAGACCTTTTTTCAAAAATTATTTATTTATTTATTTAAGTCCATTTGTTATTATTTTTTTAATTTGACTGGAAAGAGAGAGAGACAGGGAAAGCGAGAAAGCAAGCCGCCAGGTCCAGGACTTGAACCATGGTCAGCCCTGGGAATCTAGCACCTTTAACCACCATGCCACCTGCCGGCCCCAGTAAAGGCATTTTTAATGGTAAATGTTAGAATTTTGCTTAGGTCTATGGGTAAATAGTGTCTCTTTGTTTGCATATCAAATATTTTTTCCTTTTAGTTATTGCCATAGGGTGCATGCTCAAGATATAGAGAAGGAGGGGAGTGAGTAATCAATCATGTGGGACAGGAGTGGCCACGCAGTAGTTCTTTCTCCTCTGGTCTCATTTGGGGATTTTGGGCATGCACGCACACGCACCAGGACTAAGTTTCAAGTCTCTGGGTCCCGGATTTGAACTACAGAGCCGGCCATGTAGGATCCAGATTCTTGTGACCTTGCACATCAAACTTTTACGATCCATCCAGTCTCATTACTTTATTTTTCCAGAAAGAGGGCTGAAAATGTTCTCTAATATTAGGAAGAATCAGCTATTGGCTGGTAGGTGATATGGTAGGTAGTTAAAGGTGATGGACTCTCTCACGTGGCTGACCGCGGTTTGAGTCCCAGACCTAGCAGCTTGCTTTCTCTCTCTCTTTCTCACACTCTGTCCCTCTCTGATTGAATTTAAATAGATAAATTAAAAATAAAAAAGAATCAGTTATTTTCAGACCAGTATTTACTTTTTGTCCTTTTTTTTAATTATTATTATTTTAAAAATTTGTTTAGGGTGCTTTGGGGTGAGGGGAGGAATGGTGGAGAAGTGAGAAAGCACCCCCCCAGTGTGGATGATCACAATGCAGTCCCTTTTCCATTCTCTTGGGATTCTGGGCATGCACGCTTATGTGCCTAGTGTGTTTTTGAAGCTTTTGGGTCCAGGATTTGAGCCGCACAGTTGGCCATGTGGGATCCACCTGTCATAACCATCCCACCATCTGTCTAGCCCAGACCAATCCTTTTTTTAAAAATAATTATTTTATTTAACTTTATTTATTTTAATTTGAACAGAGAGGGTCAGAGTGAGATGGAGGTGGGGGGGAAGGGAGAAAGCAAGCCACTAGGTTTGGGACTCAAACTGTGATCAGCCATGTCGAGTCTAGTCCCTTAACCACCAGGCCACCTGCCTTTTTAGTTATTTATTTATTTAAAAAACATTTTTTTTGGGGGGGGGGGGAGTTTTTTTTTTTTTTTTTTTTTTTTGCTGTAGGGCTCGTGTGCTTGCCAGACAGACAGAGACAATGAGACAGAAAGCGAGAAATCACTCCCCCCAGCGGGGATGGCCACGCTGCAATCCCTTCTCCTCCATTTTCCTCTAGGGATCGTGGGCATGCATGCACACGTGCCCGGCGTGAGTTTAAGCCACCAAGTCCGGAACTTGAACCGTGGTCGACTACACAGGAGTCCAGCGACATAGCCATTACGCTAACTGCTGGTCCCTTATTTATTTATTTTAATTTGAACAGAGAGTCAGAGTGAGATGGAGAGAGAGAGGAAGATCAGTGCATTTTAGAGTAGTCTTGGTTTCTGATTTTTTTCCTTAATACCGCTTATTTGTTTTTTCTATTCCTATATGCAGAACCTGTGAGTGGAGGACTTTATGGTATAGATGACACTGAGTTGATGGGTGCAGAGGACAAATTGCCTCTTGAAGACAGCCCTGTGATCTCTGCTCTCGATTGTCCTTCTCTCAATAATGCCACTGCCTTCAGTCTTCTGGCAGATGATAGTCAAACATCAGCCTCTATATTTGCCAGCCCCACCTCTCCACCTGTCCTGGGGGAGTCTGTTCTGCAAGGTAAATGAGGAGAGGTAGGACACAGAAAGTTCTTGACCTGCGAGAGATAAGAGAGTAAATTCCATTATTTAGGGCATTAGAGGTAAGAAGTCTGTAACAGCACCTTGCTGAGATGTGAGAAGACACAGGCCACTGTACCTCTGTTCTGTGCCCAGAATATGTGAGATTTGAGTTTGCAGGGAAAAAGAAGCTAGAGGCCCTCCTGACTCTTAAGATATTTCTTCATACAGTGAAAGCAGCAGTAGCTTTGTCTTTTAATTTCATGCGTGGTTGAGGAGGGAAGTGAGAAGCTTACTTCTTTTTCTAACCCTAGGGAAAAGCTCTTAAAGTAAATCTGTTTAGCTTAGTCCTAGTTTGACTAAGTAGGTTCTTGTTTTATATGATAAATTTTTCTTTACACATCTCATATCCTTGGATTCTAGATAACAGCTTTGAGTTGAATAATGGCAGTGATGCTGAACAGGAAGAGATGGAGACTCAGGCTTCACACTTCCCACCTCCCCTGATCCAGCCAGCCCCTGACCAGTCATCCACTATTCAGTTACATCCAGCAACCTCACCAGCAGTCTCGTCCACAGCCTCTCCTGCAGTCTCACTGGCAGTTTCTCCAGCAGCATCCCCAGAAACCTCTCTAGCAGTTTCTCCAGCAGTCTCCCCAGTTGCCTCCCCAGCAGTCTTTGCAGCAGTCTCTCCAACTTCCTCAGGAGCCCTCCCAGCGGTCTCCTCACAAGTCTCCTTGATGGCTCCAGTGACCTCCCCAAAAGTGTCCCCTGTCACTTCCCTAGCAGCTGACTTCCTGACAACCTCCCCAGCAAATAAGGATGTCAGCAGCTTTCTTCAAACCTCTGCTGACCTAGAAGAGATCACTGGAGAAGGAGTCAATAGTTCTGGTAGTGGTAAGTGTCCAAATTGTATTCTACCCCTGAATGATTCCAAGAAAAATTTCTGTTCCATGTTACATTTAGCTTTTCCTTACTGACCTGTAATTTCAATATTTTGCTTGAACTTCTTTTTTTTTTTTTTTAAAGAATTATTTATTGGGACTAGCAGATGGTGTAATGATTACATCCCTGGACTACCATATACTCGACTGCGGTTGAAGTCCAGACATGACAGCTTAAAACTCACTCTGGGGAACCAGCAGTTAGCGTAATGGCTATGTTGCTGGATTCCCATGTAGTTGACTGCGGTTTGCATCCCGGACCCGGTGGCTTAGAATTCATACCGGGCGCGTGTGCGTGCGTGCTTGTGCCCAAGATTCCGAGAGGAGAATGGAGGAGAAGGGATTGCGGCATGACCATCCCCCCCTGGGGGGTGATTTCTCGCTTTCTGTCTCTATGTCTCTCTCTGTCTGGCGAGCGCACGCGCCCTATAGTGAAAACCTTTCAAAAAAAATAGTGGCATAGTGGTTAAGGTGCTGGACTCCCACATGGCCTACTGTGGTTGGAGTCTTGGACCTGGCAACTTGAAATTCACATCAAGTGCATGTGCATGCATACCCAATACTCCAAGAGTAGAAGGGAGGAGAAGGGATTGCAATGTGGCTGTCTCCCCTGTGGGATGATTTCTCGCTTTATCTCTGTTTCTCTGGTGAGTGCATGCATCTTATAGCAAAAATCTCTCTAACAACAACAAAAATTAAATATTACAAAAGAGACAAAAAGAAAAGAGAACACAAAATGGTTTTATTAAATTAAAAACAAATGGTGTTAGGTAGAAACATGTCAATAATTACATTAAATATAAATTGGGGCCAGCAGATGGTGTGGTGGTTAAGACATTTGACTCTTGTTTGTTTGTTTGAGAGGTTTTTCCTACAGGGCACGTGTGCTCGCCAGACAGACAGAGAGAGACATAGAGACAGAAAGCGAGATGTCTTTCTGTCTCTCTGTCTGTCTGGCGAGCACACGCGCCCTATAGTGAAAACCTTTCAAAAAAAAAAAAAAAAACTAAACTAAAAAAAACCACCTCACTTTGGCACTTAAGCATGTGTGTTCAAAATCCCAAGAGACGAGAATGGAGGAAAAGGGATTGTGGGGCCTGGCAGGTGGCATGGTGGTTGGGGGCGTTGGACTCCCACATGGCTGACCGCGGTTTGAGTCCCGGACCTGGTGGCTTGCTTTCTCACTTTCTTTCTCTCTCTCTCATGCTGTCCCTTTCTGGTCAAATTGAACTAATAAATAAATAAATGAATAAAGTTGGATAAAACAATTTCCTTTTTTTTTTTTTAAAGGTGGGATTGTGGTGTGGCCTGGGGGGGGAGATTTCTCTCTTTCTCTTTTGCTGTAGTGTGTATGCCTTATAGCAGAGCCCCTTTTAAATAAATAAATAAACTCAACAGATAATTCTTTTTTAAATTATTTAATTTCATTTATTATTATTATTTTCAATTTGTTACAGGGCATGTGCACTTACAAGAGAGAGGGAGGGGAAGCAAGCCACCAGGTCCAGACTCAAATTATAGTCAGCACCTTAAACCATCATGCTAGCTGATGGCCCCTCTTTTTTTTCTTTAAAAAAAAATATATTTTTGCTAGAGGGCGCGTGTGCTCACCTGAGAGAGACACACAAAGTGAGAAATCACCTCCCCTGGGGGAGTAGTCACACCACTATCTCTTCTTCCTTCTCTTGGGATTTTGGGCACACATGCACAAGCGGTCAACTACTTGGGAGTCCAGCAATGTAACCATTACGCCATCTGCTGGTCTCATATTTATTGAATGTTATCTTTTGAGAGATTTTTGCTATAGGGTATGTACACTTGTAGAGACAGAGATAGAAAGCAAGAAATCATTCCCTGGGGAGATGTCCATGACAACAATCGCTTCTCCTCTTGGGCTTTTGGGCACACACGTGCACACACCTGTCCTGAGTTTTAATCTACTGGGTCTGAAACTCAAACAGTAGTCGACTATGTTGGAGTTCAGCAACGTAGCTATTACTCGATTTGCTTAAATTTTATTTTTATCATTTTTAATTTGCTATAGAGCACATACACTCAACAGAGACAGACAGACATAAAAAGAGAGAGAGAAAGCAAGCTACCGGGCCCAGGACTTGAACTGTGGTTATTCATATAGGAGTTCAGTACCTTAACTACCATGTTACCTGCTAGCCCTCTGTTTGAACTCTTAACTTGGGTATCTGTCTTCTTCCCAAGGTGATATCCTGAGAAGACGTATTGCTACCCCAGAAGAAGTTCGTCTTCCCCTCCAACATGGGTAAATGCTCTAGTTTGCTATGTACATTGACTTTTTGACAAGTTTAATGCATAACTCTTGGAAGAAGGACTCTCTTGTCTTTGTCTGAGTTAGGAGAATGGGCTAGACAAGAATAGACTATAGGACTGTTATCTACAGTGATACAATAAACGTTAGTATATTGGCATGAGATTCTTTTCCTTCTCTTGGGGTCTGTCTTCTCTCTTACTCTTTTTCTTCTTGTGGCGACTCAGTTTTACTCAAGGGGCTCAAATTATTATCTTTTCCAAACCCTAGGGCTCAGAAGTCCAACTAGATAGCTTGTCTTGTTTTCCTAGAGAGGGGATAGTAGTCAATGGAATAGCATAGTACCAGTGAATTGGGGCAGTTTGTTGTTCTTTAATGCTCTTTGGGGAGTTACGGCAGGAACAGTGACTAGAATGAACAAACCAACAGACACTAAGGACTTTGTAGTAATAACTGCTTTTCTAGATCTTCCCCACCCCACCTAACCCCTCAGGCCTACTTGTGGTCATCAAGTCTGAGTACTGCTTAAATTTTTGAGAGAGAGATAGGGTTTAGTCTTAGATTATATTGCTCAGAACATGGAGTTCTAACTAAAACGAGGCCTACTGAGTCATTTCATGGAATCAGCAGTTCACTCTTCTTGCTTCCCCACTCTCTGTTTTGTGCCTTTATTCCCTTAGGTCTTCATCCTCTTGACTGGAAGCCCAGTAATTGTCCTGAATGATGTCAGGGAGGGGTTTCTGGCTGCTCATCTCACTGACTTTGTTAAAAGGGGGGTGATGGTGGTGGTAAAACTTCCTCTGCGTGTGCAATTTTTTGTATTGCTTTTCTCCTCGAAGGCCTTGAGATCTTTGCTGGATCTCAAGCCTGTCTATAGCCAAGCTTGCATCCCATGCTGTGTGTGTTTGTACTTACACACATTTTTGTGGAGACAGATGTGGGGAGGATCATTACTCAGTGGGCTTGGATCCTGGGTGGTGTGGGAGTGGGTAGGGGTGTGACCTGGTGGCAGGGCCCGTGTGCTTCTCTGGCAGATGGCGGAGAGAGGTGCGCATCAAGAAGGGCAGCCACCGATGGCAGGGAGAGACCTGGTATTACAGCCCCTGTGGGAAGAGGATGAAACAATTTCCTGAGGTGATCAAGGTAATATAGTTTTATGGGAGTTTTTTTTGAGAGATTTTTGCTATAGGGTGTGTGCTTTCGCTGGAGAGAGACAGAAAGTGAGAAATCACCCCTCTGGGGGATAGCCATGCCACAATCCCTTCTTCATTCTCTGGGGATTTGGGGCATGCATGCACACGTGCCTAGCGTGAGTTTTTTTTTTTTTTTTTTGGAGAGGTTTTTGCTATAGGGCATGTGCGCTTGCCAGAAAGACAGAGACATAGAGACAGAAAGCGAGAAATCACCCCCCAGGGAGGATGGCCACGCCACAATCCCTTCTCCTCCTCTCTCCTCTCGGGATCTTGAGCACGCACGCACATGCGCCCAGCGTGAGTTTAAGCCACCGGGTCCGGGACTCGAACCGCGGTCAACTACGTGGGAGTCCAGCAACATAGCCATTATGCTAACTGCTGGTCCCGCCCAGCGTGAGTTTTAAGCTGCTGGGTCCGGGACTCGAACCATGGTTGACTACATGGGAGTCTGGTGAGTAACCATTATGCTATCTGCTAGTCCACAAGCTTTTTAAATTTTTCAAATAGTTTTGCTAAAGGGCGTGTGCACTTACCAGAGAGAGGAGGAAAGTGAAAAATCATGTCCCACTGGGGATGTCCTCACTTCAGTTCCTTCTCTTCCAGGCTCCTCTTGGGATTTGGGACACATATGTGCCCAACATGATTTTCAGACCACCAGATCAGACTGCACAGTTGGCCCTGTGGGATCCAGCATCTTAACCTCCACACCACATGCTGGCCCCCCGTCTTTTGTTATTATTATTTTTTTGGGGGGGAGGGATTTTTGCTATAGGGCACGTGCGCTTGCCGGACAGACAGACAGAAAGCGAGAAATTACCCCCCAGGGGGGATGGCCACGCCGCAATCCCTTCTCCTCCATTCTCCTCTAGGGATCTTGGGCACACACGCACACGCGCCCGGCATTGAGTTTAAGCCACCGGGTCCGGGACTTGAACCGCAGTCGACTACGTGGGAGTCCAGCGACATAGCCATTACGCTAACTGCTGGTCCTGTCTTACTATTTTATGAGAGAGAAAGAGACTGGCATCCCTTACAGGGTCCCCATACCACGATCCACGTGTAATCCCAGCTAGCCTGGATGTATGAGGTCCTGGGACACAAACCTAGAACCTTCCCATGTGAGTCAGGTTGCATTACAAGTGCCACCACCTAGCCCTCATTAATGCTATTTTACTTCTTCTTAGTACCTGAGCCGCAACGTGGTACACAGTGTCCGTCGTGAGCACTTCAGCTTCAGTCCCCGTATGCCTGTTGGAGATTTCTTTGAAGAGAGAGACACACCACAGGTCCAAATGCAAGGGTTAAATAAGCTTTATTCTTAGGACAGAATTGGTGGACAAGTTGCAGTTACCTCTTTTAACTTTGGAGGTGGCAATATGGGACCATTGAGTGGTTTAGAGGGCCTAGCACCCTGCACTGATTCCTGTTTTAATGGTCTTCTTTGTTACCCTAGGGCTTGCAGTGGGTACAACTCTCAGCAGAGGAGATCCCATCCAGGATTCAGGCAATTACTGGCAAACGAGGTCGACCTCGAAACACTGAGAAGACTAAGATCAAGGAAGTTCCCAAGGTGAAACGGGGCAGAGGTCGGCCACCCAAGGTCAAAGTCACTGAGCTATTGAATAAGACAGACAACCGCCTTCTAAAGAAACTGGAGGCCCAAGGTACATTGCTATTTCCTTTTTGTTTGTTTGTTTGGTTTTTAGTTTTTGTCAGTGGATAAGGGTGCTCACTAGAGACAGGGAAGGTGAGAATGAACCTCCCCTGCTACCCACCCCATGGGGCATGGTCACACTGCTTTGGATATGCATATACATGATTGTAGTGTATTTCTTAAGCCTCCAGGTCCAGAACTTGAACTGCACTGCATGGTGGCCATGTGGGATCCAGTTGTCTTAACCACCAGGCCAGGGCTGGGCCCAGTGGTGTCTCTTTAGGATTCTAGTTCTTCTGTGAGGTATCTAATATATTGATAAATTGCTAATATCTGGGTTTCCCAGGAGTGTGACTGACACTATCTGAACAGAATGAATCTGAACCAACTTTTCCTCCTTGGAATGTAGCATCAGGGTCCCAGCACTTTGGGGTACTTAATTTTATTTTATTTTATTTTATTTTTGCTAGAAGGCATATGTACTTGCTAGGGACAGGAGAAAACACACACATACACACACCCCTTAATGGTCATGCGTAATCCTTTCTCCTTTTCTCAATCCTCTTCCTCTTTGGATTTTTGAGCACACACATACACATCCATTGTGTTTCTTTTTGTTGGTGAGGTTTTTGCTGTAGGGCATGTGTGCTTGCCAGAAAGACAGAGAGAGACAGAAGACAGAAAGTGAGAAATCACTCCCCCCCAACCCAGGGGTGATGGCCATGCTGTAATCCCTTCTCCATTCTCCTCTTGCGATTTTGGGCACGCACACACACACACACACACACACACACATGCTCTGCCTGAGTTTAAGCCACTGGGTCCGGGACTCGAACTGCGGTTGGCTACATGGGAGTTCAGCAACATAGCCATTACACCAACTGCTAGTCCCCATCCATTGTATTTCTTAAGCCACTGTGTCCAGACTCAGATTGACCATGTCGAATCTAGCCACCTTAACCACCAGGCCACAGCTAGCCCTGGGATACTTCTTTTCTAGCTAGTTTCTTCTTCATCAAGTTGCTCTTACTAATAAAGCTTTTGGCTGTCCCCAGATGTGCGTGTATATAGCTTAGGACGTTCATGTCCTCCTTATCTATCTCTTAGCTTATTACTTATCCAACTGGTTTCAGTTGACACTCTTTACCTTGTTCATTATCACTGTCGTGGAGATTTACAATTGAATAGATAATTGGTGCGGCTGGCAGGTAGCTGGTAATGGTTAAGGGCACTAGACTCCCACATGGCCTACTGCGGTTTGAGTCCTGGACCAGGCAGCTTCCTTTCTCACTTTCCCTCTCTTTCTTGTTCTATCCCTCTTAGTCAAATTAAAATAAATAAGAAATAAATAAACAAAATAATTCTTTCTAAAAAAGATAATTGGCATTGTTTTAGTGGGATAAATAGGAAATATCTCATTTTTTTCCCCCAGTCTATATGGCATTTACCCTGGAGTAGTACGAAGAATATGAAAATATTTAGTCTTCTGATTCCCATTCAGAGTTCCAGTTCTGCCAGTTCGGACTATATGACCTTAAACAAGCCTCATGTTTTAGTAGAAACCTTAAATGCTTCTCTGCCTATGATTCTTGTCTAAGCTGTATTATGTGATGGCATTCCTTTATCAGAAAGAAAAGGTACTGCCATGGCAGAAACATCATTTATGAAATTATTGTTTGCAGAATTATACTTCAGTGTTCAGTCTTCTAGAAAGAAAAAAATTCAGCCTTTTAGTGGAGGAAGACATGGGAGCTCAGCAAAAGCAATAGTTCTATCACTGTTGATCTGACTATGTCATTATCTGGACCTTTTCTTTCTGGAATACTCTTTAGTTAATCTATGCTTTCGACTACCACCTTCTTTCTACAGCACTTCTGCTTTCTGTTTCTTCTCTCTCCTCTGAAATCTATGGGTTGGTGCCCTTGTAAAGTAACCTGGGACAGAGACAGACTGCAAGGATATTCTGCCACTATGACCTCTTTTCTGTCAGCGGTTGCCTCCCAAGACAGTCTGATAGGAGCCAGGGGCTGCCTCTAGGCAGGAGATGCCATTTGAATTCTTTGTGCCACCCCCACAGCAGGTGCCTCTCTCCTACATTGTTTTCCCCAACATTTTATTAAGACTACTTTACATATATATGTATATGCACATACATACATACACACATATATATACATGAAAATACTCCAGATTCTCCAGGGAGCTGCTTGGGAGGCCAGCATTGTAACAGACATGTGCTGCCTGATGCCTATCTGTATCTGCCTATCTCACTCGTTTTTATTTTTCTTTTTACTCTCACAGAGACACTGAATGAAGAAGATAAAACAAAGATGAGTAAAAGCAAGAAGAAGATAAGGCAGAAGGTACAACGGGGAGAGTGTCAGGCTACTCAAGGGCAGGTGAGGGACATCATAATGATTACAAAGTGGGTTCATTTTTTTCTGCATCCTGCTTCATCTATTCTTCCATCTCCCACATCTGCCACTCCCTGTGTAGCAGCACATCTTCATTACCTTGAAATTTCTTGGGCTTGATTTAGAGAATCGGGCTTGTTCAAGAATAATGTGGGCATCTCTAGGGTGAGAGACTCAGCCATTGCCAACCCCTCATCCCATCTCTCAACTCTCCTCCCCAGCACCCTTGTTTTTGAATCCTAGCCCAAGCAGAGATGCTTTCAGAGTTTGAGGAGAAATGACTTCCCTTATGGTTTACAGGCCAGAAACAAGCGGAAACAAGAGACCAAGAGCTTAAAGCAGAAGGAAGCAAAGAAGAAATCCAAGGTAAGTGAATTTACATATTCAGCAAGAATATGAAGCCACCAAACCGATTTTGCAAGCCATGTGTGTCCATCTATTAGAATTACATTTCTGGGCCTCTAAGATTAGGAGGGGCAGATTTTATTGCATTTGTGCATAGAAAAACATGTCATGACTTTTCCAACAACTCAGTGTTTTTGTGGAATGAAGTGTTGCCTGATTCTAGGATCATGAATAAAGCCAATTAAGATTGTTAAAAGAACCAAAAAAGAAAAAAGAAAAAGATTAGGAGGGGTTGGGACTAGGGAAGGGTGGTGACTGGTATCTTTATGGCACTCTTAGTTCCTTTCTCCCTTGGATGGGTAGGTTGAGAAGGAAAAGGTAAAGACAAAGCAGGAAAAACTGAAGGAAAAAGTCAAGAGGGAAAAAGAGAAGGAAAAAATGAAGGAAAAGGAGGAGATGATCAAAGCCAAGCCAGTTTGTAAAGCAGATAAGATCCTGGCCACACAGAGGCGTCTAGAGGAGCGGCAGAGGCAACAGATGATCTTGGAGGAGATGAAGAAGCCTACAGAGGATATGTGTCTTGCTGACCACCAGGTAGTAAGGGGAGAATAACAGTTCTTAGGTCATAAAGGGGATCAATTATGAAGACATTTCTGTTAAAGGAACAGCCCCATAGGCATCTGAATTGTTGTCTTCTGGTATGTTTAACAGAACCCCCTACTACTTTTTTCCCTCCAGCCCCTGCCTGACTTCTCTCGCATCCCTGGTCTGACACTGCCCTGTAGGGCCTTCTCAGACTGCTTGACCATCGTGGAGTTTCTGCATAGCTTCGGCAAGGTGCTGGGCTTTGACCCTGCCAAAGATGTGCCTAGCCTGGGGGTCCTGCAAGAGGGACTCCTATGTCAAGGTGACAGCTTGGGCGAGGTACAAGACCTGCTGGTGCGGCTCCTGAAGGCTGCACTCCGTGATCCTGGCTTGCCTTCTTACTGTCAGGTGAGCACCTTTCCAGGGCAAGCTGGGAGAGCCTGGGATCCAGTACTTTGCTCAATTTTGCCTGATTTTTAAAAACACCTAATAATCCCTCTCTAAAGTGATCAGGACATGTGAAGGAGATAGAGCTTCTTCCTGTTTACTTTATCTTATTTTTCTTTCTTCTTGACTCCCCTCCTTATTTTGTTCATTTTCCTCTCCCTTTATTTTGCACTTTCTTTGTAGTCATTTTTTCATCTTGCAGCAACTTTTATTTTTCTTTTGTTCTACCTTCAGCCTCCTAGTTTTCTCTTGCTGTATTTTTCTCTTCCAGACATTCAGTTTGAATTGTTTCTCTGTCTTTCCTCACTCCCATTATGTTTTCCTCCAAACAGTCCCTAAAGATCTTGGGTGAGAAGGTGTCTGAAATCCCACTGACAAGAGACAATGTGTCAGAGATCCTGCGCTGTTTCCTCATGGCATATGGAGCAGAGCCAGCCCTCTGTGACAGCTTGTGCACTCAGCCTTTTCAGGCTCAGCCACCCCAACAGAAGGCTGCTGTCCTGGCCTTCCTTGTGCATGAGCTCAACAGCTCCACCCTCATCATCAAGTGAGAGACTCGGGGTGGGGATGATTATTGTATACCTTGTGCCAGGATGGGATGGGAGAGGGGTTTAGCTGTTTAATAGTCCTAGGGTGTTGTGGGTCCACTGCCATGCTCTGATGATGATGCTAGAGTGACTTGTAATGAAATCTCAGTGCCCTTCCTCAGAGAACTTAAGCCTTCCTCTACTGTTCCAGTCTCGGTTCTAGACTGAAACTCCCTTTTCATTTGCAGTCCCTTTACCCTTGAACCTCCCATTCCCTTTTTTTGTGCTGCCACTTCTACCTCAAAACTCCATTCCCTATTCCCCTGCAGTGAGATTGACAAGACTCTGGAGAGTATGTCCAGCTACAGGAAAAACAAGTGGATTGTTGAAGGCCGGCTCCGGAGGTAGGGACAGGACAGAGGGTAGAACCAGAGAGCAGAGAAGGGGGAAAGGGTGAAACATAGCTAGGACTTTTGCTTGGAATGAGATGCCCTTAGCCTCTTCCCTGGGTTTGGGACTTTAACCAGGGCTCAGGATGGTTTAGAGTCCAGGTGTTCCTTCTACGGATCACCATGTTTCTCACCAGTTTTCTCTTAATCTCTCTCCAACTCTTTCAAGACTGAAAACTGCCCTGGCTAAGCGAACTGGACGGCCTGAAGTAGAGATGGAAGGGCCAGAGGAAGGCCTGGGACGGAGGCGTAGTTCTAGGATCATGGAGGAGACCAGTGGGATGGAAGAGGATGAAGAGGAGGAGACTACTGCAGTGGCCCATGGCCGCAGGGGTCGAAGAGATGGAGAGGTACTGGCCAAAAGATCAAGGAAAGTGGCAGTTAAAACTAGGTGGTTTTGGGACTAGCAGATGGCATAATGGTTACGGTGCTGGATTTCCACATGACCAACCACGATTCAGGTCCTGGACCCAGTGGCTTCAAACTCAAGCCAGGCGTGTGCGCATGTGTCCCAAAATCCGGAGAAGAGAATGGAGAAGGGATTGTGTGACCATCTCCCACGGGGTGGGGGGGTGGGGTGATTTCTTGCTTGCTCTTTCTCTGGAGAGTGCACATGGCATATAACAAAAAAATAGTTTATCTTTTTTGAATCTGATAATTCTCTTTTTCTCAATGACCACTTGTTTCTTTCTAGGTTGATACCACAGTGTCTAGCATCCCAGAGCTAGAGCGCCAGATAGAAAAACTCAGTAAGGTATTGTGCTTCTAATCTGTAAGAGTTGCAAATACGGGCTGGGCAAGGACTGATCACCTTTTGACTTGGGCTTAGATGGTGTCAATTTTATAGGGAAGCTGAGAGCCATTACCCCTCTACTATCTACTGGGTGAATTCATTGTCACTCTGGAAATGTGTTTTTTAAATTCATCTTTTTCAGCGTCAACTTTTCTTTCGCAAAAAGTTGCTTCATTCATCGCAGCTGCTTCGAGCAGTCTCCTTGGGTCAAGACCGCTACAGGCGCCGCTACTGGGTGTTGCCATATTTGGCTGGTATCTTCGTGGAAGGAACAGAGGGAAGCTTGGGTAAGTGTATCTATGAAAGCCTGGATTCTGGATTCTGACTCCTATCTAGCAAAAGTTATCCCACTTCCTCCACTTAGTCATCTGAGTTCATTTTATGATAATTAGTTTAGCATAGTGGTTAAGGAAACAGTCTCTGAAATAAGACCACCTATCTTCCTGCTTTGTCATTTAGCAGTTGTGTGTTTGTTTCTTCATTTGTAGAGGGAACTAATAATAGTGTTTGTACATCATAAGGCTGTTGAAAGGATTAAAGTTTAAAATGAGTTAATGCTCTTAGAATATACTTAACATATAGTTGGTTCTCAGTAATGTTAGCTTATGATTATGCTGCTGCTGATAGTGTTTCCTTCCCACATGCTGTGTTCATGGGCATATTCCCATGCCAGTGAAATCTCAAAAAGGGAGATTTAGAAGAAAGATAAAGAACATGTCTTGTGTTTATATGCCCTCTTTCTTATTTATCAGAGTATGTCTTAAGCTCTTACTTCTCGCTCTTCTCTTCACAGTTCCTGAGGATATGATAAAGCAAGAAACTGACTCCTTAAAGGTGGCAGCTCATTCAGCACCCATCCCTGCCCACTTTTCTGTGAAGAGGGAGTTAGCAGGCTCCAGTACCTCTGCCAGCTCTCCTGCCCGGGCTCGAGGCCGACCTCGAAAACCTAAGCCTGGGTCTATGCAACCTAGGCACCTTAAGTCTCCTGTCCAGAGGCAGGATTTAGAAGAGTTCCAGGTTCAGCTTCAGCCTGAGGCTCAGCCCCATCCTCAGCTTCAGGCTCCTGTCCAGTCCCAGCCCCAGCCCCATCC